TTGGTGGCTTTGCAGAAGGCCGGGAGGGGAGTAAGGGTCAGGATCTCCACGGGGAGGTCATTCCAGAGGGCTGGAGCTGCAACAGAGAAGGCCCCGGGAAGTCGCCAGCCAACATTGGCTGGCAGATGGAATCCGGAGGAGACCTAACCTGTGAGATCTTATCGGTCTGAGGGAGGTAATCGGCAGGAGGCAGTCTCTCAGGTAATATATGATTGATCATTCTTCCCAAAGAATTTTGAAAAGGGGAAAACACCTTAACTATATTGACAGCAAATAAATCTGGTCAAATAAATCTGAAAGATTTGTTTTTATATTTGGATACGTCTGTGGACAAGACTAAATTTCAAGAGAATGGTGCTATTCCATCTCAAATGTCTATATCCCACCCAAGAAAACTCAGAAACAGTGATCTCCCTTGCTGTGAGCTCCGCCGATCAGCTGTTCCGGCCACCATGTAATTGGCAACCAGTCAGCTGAAGTCCAGGCAGGTGAGGATGAGCACACTGTCAGCCACGGCATGGCAGCAACCGGGATGTCCTCTGCCGTTCCCGCAGCTGGTTTGCATTCCATCCTGTCCTCCCCACCCCACAGGTATGGCAAGCCTGTCAGGGCTTGACAACTTCCTAAATTTGTATTTCAAAGATGCTTCAGGTAATATTGGAAAGACCAGGAAGTTTTGTAGTTTCTCAAGAAATAAGCTGAAGCAAAATTGAAATAAAATATGAAAATCAGGAGAAAAAGAAGATAACTAAAATGAAACAGAAAATGAAATTAGGGCTGATAAGCAATGATCATTTGCTACATCATCTCCAGTTCTCAAGTACAGTAAGTGCTCTGCTTCAGAGGCAGAGGAACCATTTCCCAATGTATTGTCTGTAAACACTTTTAGTACCTTGGTTGCAGAAATTGGTTTATTCTATGGTAGCATAGATGCACGGAGCAATAAGAGGTCATGTTCCCTGAGATACTGTAGGAGTCCTTTCTGAATCTGCATCTCCTTTTCTTTATTCTGTAAAACCTGCGCTCGCTTGTGAGACAACTGGCATTTGACAGCTTCCTTCTTCTTACTTTCTGCATCCTGTTCCTTCAGGGCAATTTCTGCCTTCTTTTGCATGACTTCTTTTCTATTCCTCAGAAGTGCCTACAGAAAAGAACATTAAGATTGACTACTTGATTATTCGGCATACTTACAACTCTTCTATCACATCTTCTTTTCAAAAACATTGCCTCAAACTCGTTAACAAAATCATGCAATTTCATGAGAGCCAGTATGGTATGATTAAGGCTCTGGTCTAGAAACCAGGAGACTGTGAATTCTAGTCCTATCTTAGGCATGAAACCTGATTGGGTGACATTGGCCAGTCTCTCTCTCAGTTCAACTAATCTCAGATAATCCCTACTGTTATTGTGGAAAAGAGGAAGGAGTATTGGTATGCTTGCCACATTGATTTGTATATGAAAAAATGCAGGATAAAAATCTAAACAAAATTACTAAAAGAAAAATATTTTAAAAAAACACAGCATGGAAGCTTAACTCATGAAGAGGACAACACCTCCCAAATAGGCCAAGCTGTTTCAAATTCCAACTAATTCAAATGATTTTGTATTTGTATTTTGTATTTGTATTTT